AGAGAGAGAGAGAGCGCTACAGGTGTGCAGTGCCTGACAGAAACGATGACCTTGCCCACCAGAAAAGCTGTTCTCACCAGTGTCCTGGTGCCTGGCTCACTTACTCGTAGGAGAAAAAAGGGCAGAAGTGGAGTGAGGGTAGAAAGCCCTCTCCCCCAGATTTTCAAATGTACCTGGACAAGCATCCTTATTCACAGCTGGAAGAAGGTGGATTCAGCAGAATGCAATTTGGAAAACATGGCTCTGAAGCACCATCCCCTCTGGCCCCTGAATCCTCGTTGGCTTCCACCCTCTGCTCACCTCAGGCCCTGGATTACAGCAGCCCTAGGCTCCCAGCTGCCTCCCTGTCTCTGTCCCATGGTTCTCCCTGGAGTTCTGGTCCCTAGTGTGTCCTCTGGTCCCATTCTCACACACCCTTTGCTTCTATTTCTTTACCTGTGACTTTATACTGATGTAGAGTGGGTCTTCTAGGTCCCTTCTTGTTCTTTGAGGCGTGATGAACCAGAATCTAAATGGAAAATCCGGGCGCAGATAGAACCCCCAGCTGGAGTCACCCTGCCCCTCCATGTCCAGATCACCTGGGTTCCAACCTCCCGCCTCCTCCAATGAGAAGCCTTTGTTCTCTCAAGATTCCAGCGACTTCTCTGAAGCTCAGAGGTCTCTTCACCCCTGGCTGTTGCACGGTGGCTCCATAGTCAAGATTCCTTAGCCTCTTGCACCTAAAATGTTCGCCTCTCTTACCACGCTGGCTCCAGCCTCTGGTCCCAGGGTGTGGAGAGTTCTCTCTCACCTCTGGCTGATTTCCTGGAAGGCTAAGAACACTCTCCCCAGGTTATAAGGCTGAGCATTGTCAGGACCTACCTTAGTCCAGTCCAAGCTCTCCCATGGGCCTGAGAGAAGATTTGAAGTTTCTGGCTTTCCCTCTCACCCCCCAGCCCCCATCCCCAGCCATCTCAGCAAGGACAAGGGGCAAACATGGAGTTTCCCCCACCCCACCCCCAACTCCCATGTAAACTATGCCCCCTCTTAGAAGTCGGAGCAGCTAAGGACACTTTTGTTTCAAGCAAATTTGTTTGCTGTCCATTGCACAAACTAGTGGACTCCGGGAGCTGGCCCTGCTTGTCCCCTGGGCCCTCCTTCCCTGGTCCTGCAGGCGTTGCCGCCTGTCAGGCCTCTCCTGCAACCCTCTGCCACATTTCAGAAAAGCTGAGAACCCCTTGGAGTGAGAAAGGAGGAGAAACACAGCATCTGCAGCCATGCAGGAGGTTAAATAAATACTTTCACTTCTCTTTTCCCCATTTGGGCGGAGCCCTCTCTCAGTCAGTCTGTCGGCCAACTTCCTGCTTGGGGCCTGAGCAGCCACACTCCAGGCAAGCTGGGCTGACTGAGGGGCTCAGAGGCCAGGTTTTGAGGCCCAGGGAGGGCCTAGGGTGGGAAGATGGCAGGCGGGGACAGCGACCTGAGCACCCGGTGAGTCTTTATCTCCCTTCCTTTAACCTTTATCCCTGGCTATATTGCAACTTTCAGGCCTTTAGTTCCGTTTGTGTCTAAGGCTTCACTTTGTTTAATCCTTCTTTCCAAGAACATAGGTGTGTGATGTGATCTAATGAAATGAAAGAGAAGATAGTGAGGAAATCAGATTTTTAAAACGGGAGCAGGACAGCTGTTGGTGTGAGTCCAGCTTGCCGTAACACACGTGACTTTCTTGTTTTGAAACTACTGCTCAGCTGGCCAGGACACTCTGAACATAGCAGTCGTTTGCGGCTGGGATTAACTGTTTCTTCAGGATCTCTGGACCTTTTCACATCCCTTGGCCTTCCTCTGCCTTCACATATGTCATGTCAAAAAAAAAGGTGGTTTAGAAAATAAACACTCCAGGGTAAACACCTGGCTTACTTTTAAACATCAGATGCTGTGGTCTCACCTGTCCTGGCAAAGGGCCTCTGTTGGCTATTCCCATGACTGGCTCAGGGTCTGAGTTCTTATACCATCAACCTTGATCAAAATAAGGAAAAGGAAGAAAACGGCCCAGGATGGCAAAAGGCTAAATATGTTTATTTTTACTTCAATAGCCTGTCCCAAGATGGGGGATACCTCTGACCAGAAAAGAGAAGGAAATCCTGTCTTTTCTCTAGTAATGAGTTCTGAAATAACATTACTTAATCTTCTAAATTTTTTAATAGAAAAGAAATACACTATACATTATTGTTCATAAAATTTAAAACAGTAGAGAAGTAAATTAAGGGAAAAAGTTATCTTTATCACTCACCCACCCTTGTAGCTTCCCTTCCTAGTCCTGTGAAGAGTCTTGGGCATAGCTTTTTTGATATTTTTCTATGTGTGTATATATATATATAATGCATTTTTGTAAATACATAATTTGTGTCCTTGTTTAGCAATAAATTACATTGCATGTGCTATTCTGCATTTTGCATTTTTACTTATTTTAATAGTGGAAAACTTGGAGATCTTTTAACCTTAATACATATAGATCTGCCTCATTCTTTTTATGCATCCCATTCCATAGAATTGATATACCATAATTATTTGTTCTCCAATTGTAGGACATTTAGGTTGTTTTAAATTGTTCACATTGACCAATAAACGATCATAACAATGATTATATATTTCTTTTTGGGTTTTTACATGTACGCAACTATTTATCTTGTCTTTAAACCTTAGAAAATGGAATTGTTGAGGCAAAAGGTCCAGTTATATACTTGGTTTATTTATGTTGGTACATAGCAGGTATATATATTTATGTGGTGCATGAAATATTTTGAAACAGGCATACAATGCATAATAATCCCATCAGGGTAAATGAGTTATCATCACCTCAAGTATTTATTCTTTCTTTATGCTGCGAACATTCCACTTATACTCTTTTAGTTACTTTATAATGTACAATAAATTATTGTCAACTACAGTCACACTGTTGTACCATTGAATTCGAGGTCTTCCTCATGCTATCTAACTGTATTTTTGCACCCATTACCATTTCTACTTCCGCTTCCTCAACCACCCTTCCCAGTCTCTGGTTACCATCTTCTACTCTCTGTTTTCATAAGCTCAATTGTTTTGATTTCTAGCTCCCACAAGGAAGTGAGAACACGTGAACTTTGTCTTTCTGTGCCTGGCTTATTTCTCCAGTTCCATCCATGTTGTTGCAAATGTCAGAATCTCATTCTTTTTTATGGCCAAATAGTATTCCATTGTGTATATGTACCATTTTTTCTCTTTTTTTTTTAAATATTTTATAACATTTTAGGTTTTGGGGTACATGTGAAGAACATGCAAGATTGTTGCATAGACTTGTTTATAGGTCCTGCCAAATTGTCTTTCTAGGAGGCTGAATGAATGTAATTCACCAATAGCAATTGAGACCAGCCGAGGCCGGGTGCGGTGGCTCACGCCTGTAATCCCAGCACTTTGGGAGGCCAAGGCGGGTGGATCACAAGGTCAAGAGATCGAGACCATCCTGGTCAACACAGTGAAACCCCGTCTCTACTAAAACTACAAAAAATTAGCTGGGCATGGTGGTGCATGCCTGTAATCCCAGCTACTCAGGAGGCTGAGGCAGGAGAATTGCCTGAACCTAGGAGGCGGAGGTTGCGGTGAGCCGAGATCACGCCATTGCACTCCAGCCTGGGTAACAAGAGTGAAACTCTGTCTCAAAAAAAAAAAAAAAAAAGAGACCAGCCATCTTCCTACACACAGCCACAGTTTGCAAAGGTGATGAATGAAGAGTTACATTTTGTTTTAATTTGTATTTTCCTTATGATGTGGAACATTGAACAGCTTTTCACGTTTCTTGGCCATTTAAATTCCCTCTTCTATAAATTGCTTGTTTATTTTTTGCCAATGTGATTGAGTTATTTGTCCTTTTTTTCATGATATGAGAGAATTCAGTAAATATTCTGTAAGTATAAATATACTTTTCTTGTCCATTACCTTTGTGTATGGCGACTTTTATCTTATTAAAGCTTAAAATTTTATGTTTAAACTTCTTGTGATACGGATTTTTTTAAGGTAGATGCACCTTCATTATGAATGAAATGATGCTGGCATACTCCATGGGCAATGTCAGTCTTCACAGTTGACCCTGTGTTAAGGTGGCAGATTTGCTGCTACCGTTATTCAAGGAAGAGTTCCTTCCCTAATATTTTTCAAAACTTTTTAAATTTTTAAACAAAAATATTCTTACATTGGAGTCACGTTAGCCCTCACAGTTTTTATTTGGCTCCTGGTGCTTTCATCTTTTCAGTTTTTTACTTTGTGTTCATAATAGTTGTCTCAAACGTTCCTCCATGACAATTGTTTACCTTTTAGTAGCTTTCTTGTTTCTTGTCATTTCAAATTTTTAAAAAATTGATAGCTTTTATTTTTGAGGAAGGATCTTAATTTGTTTCTATACCTCTGCAAGCTCCGTGACCTCTTGTCATTCAATCTTCACAGTCTTGCTTTATTTAGGTGTGCACGTGCTGTTAAGAACTTTGGGATCGTCTCCTGATTGTCTCTGAGTTATTCTTACGACTGATTCTGTCTGATCTTGTGTTCCATGTGCCTGTGGCGGCTTTACAGCTCCTCTAGCCAGGCTTGACCCCGGCACCTCACCCCAAACTTCCTGCTTGCTTAGTCAGAATCTGGGTGAACTTGTGTTTTTTTTATATTTCCTGTTTTATCTGAGGTCAAATTGTTTTTTGCCTGAGCTACAGTTTGAAATCTTTGTTTTGATTCTTATCAATCTTTCTGAGGACACCATTAATTGATTAAATGATCCTTTTCTCCACTGATTCACAGTGCTACCCTTTTGGGGAGTATAGAGGCAAGGTGTGCTTCTGTGTTCTCTCTTCTCTGCCCTTGGTCTGTGACAGCCCCTCCTGATGCCAGTAACACACTGCCATGGTGATGACAGCTTCCCAGGAACTCTTGACTTCTGAGGGAGCAAATCTCTTCCTCTTCCTCCAAAATGTCTTAGACTTTTGTGTTCCCAAATTTACCTGTCAAAATATTGGAATTTTATGTGGAACTGCACTGAATCTATAAATCAATTTGAAGAGAACAAACGTTTTTACAATATTACAACTTCCATCTAGTGTATATAGTTTGTGTATATTATTACTTTAAAAATATTTTCTATTAAACTTTGTATTTTTCTCTCTGAAGGCTTTGTACCTCTGCTAGATTCCTTCATAGATATTTGATCTCTTTATGCTATTATTAACTATAGTAGCCCTCCCTTATCAACAATTTTACTTCCTGAGGTTTCAGTTACCTGTAGTAAAACTTGGTCCAAAACATTAAATGGAAAATTCCAGAAATAAACAATTCATGAGTTTTAAGATACTTCCCATTCTGAGAAGTGTGATGAAATCTCATGCTGTCCCTCTCCATCCCGACCAGTATGTGAACCATCCCTTTATCCAGGGTATCCACAATGTAGACACTACCGGCCCGTAAGTCACTGTGTAGCTGTCCTGGTGATCAGATTGACTGTCCTGGCATAACAGAGTTTGAGTTCAAGGAACCCTTATATATTAGTCAACAGTGGCCCCAAAGCACAAGAGGATTGATGCTGGCAATTCAGATATGCCAAAGAGAAACCGTCAAGTGCTTCCTTTAGGTGAAAATGTGAAATTTCCTGAAAGAAAAAAATCATATGCTGAGGTTGGTAATGTCTACAGTATGATGTTTTGAGAGAGAAAAAGAGACCACATTTACATAATTTTTATTACAATACATTGTGATAGTTGATCTACTTTATTAGATATTATTAATCTCCTATTGTGCCTAATTTATGTATAGGTAGCAGAAAACATAGTATATATGTACAGAGTTTGATACTATCTGCGGTTTCAAGCATCCACTGGGGATCTTGGAAGCATCCCCTGTGGATAAAAGGGAACCAGTGTATTAAATTTTATGTGTGAATTTGCATTGGTTACCCATGTTTTAATCCATGGTTCTATTTTTCATTCTTGTTTCAATACTGAAATGTTTTAGTTACTGTGATTTTAAAGGCAGTGTTCTGTAATCTACCTTACTGGGATTCAATTGGGAGACACTAAATGAACAGATAAATTTAGGAAGAATTTGTGTTTTAAGAGAAATTCAGAATGACCCCAATTAGAAACATAGTATATCTCCCCATTTATTCATGATTCTTTGAACTTGGGATTTTATTGGGTCACTTTAGTGCTAGGCATTTAAAGCTTGTATTTGTAAACAGGAATTCATTTTCCTTTTACATTTTCTATATATTTCTTGCTGGCATAAGGGAAATCTATTCATTTTAGCTCGCTGATCTTGTGCATAAAAGTCTTACTAAGTGGTTTTCTCCCTCCTAATATTGTCTTATGTTTTTCTCAAGAAATAATTACATCTTCAAAAATAGTAGCAACTCTATCTCCTCTTTTTCAGAATTTATACCCCTATTCTTTTCTTTTTCTATCTTATTTTCTCTTTCTCTT